AAAAAGATTGGAATTGGAAAAGGTTCAGAAAAGGACAACAAAAATGAATTGGGGTCTCTAATGTGGAGATTAGTAAGACTGGGACTTTTCAGCTTGGAAAAGAGATGACTAAGGGGGGATAAGACAGAAATCTATAAAATCATGACTGATGTGGAGAAAGTAAATAAGTGTTATTTACTCCTTCTCATAACACAAGAACTAGGGGTCACCAAATGAAATTAATAGGCAGCAGGTTTAAAACGAATAAAAGGATGTATTTTTTCCCCACACAACACAGACAACCTGTGGAACTCTTTGCCAGAGGGTGTTGTCAAGGCTCACTATAACAGTTCAAAAAGAACTAGATAAGTTCATGGAGGACAGGTCCATCAATGGCTATTCGCCAGGATGGGCATGGATGGTATCCCTAGCCTTTGGTTGCCAGAAGCTGGGAATGTGCGACAGGGGATGGATCATTTGATCCTGTTCTGTTCATTCCTTCTGGGGCACCTGGCATTGGCCACTGTCAGAAGACAGGACACTGGGCTAGATGGACCTTTGGTCTGACCCAGTCTGGCCGTTCTTAAGTCAAGAGAGGCAGCAGAGTCAGTGTGATGAGTCGTGTATTTACACAACTGGTTTAGTGAAGAGAGACTATGTATTAAACCTATGCACCGGGTCCCTCTACTGGAACAGTGCCCAAAGTGGAGCTGTTCCATTAATTCACAGAACAGGGTAGAAGCGATGTACCATTTTCCTTGCTTCTGCAGGCGGTTGATGGGAATGGTGTTTTCATGTATGTACGTGTGCAGCCACAAAGGCTTAGTCAGAACCCCCAGTGTCCAGAAAGTGCCATACTAATTCCAATGCATGGTTCAGTGACAAGTCTCCTAGAAAGTTGCCCCTCGCTAGCTGCATTGATTTCCTCCACTGCAAAGGGCCATTGTCGGAAAAACCTCACCATATGTGTTATGGTGTGTCCTTTCACTGTAGGACTGCAGAAGGGGTATGAAGGCCTTAGGACACCACACAAGGTATACCCTGTGGAATTTTCCCCCAAGCTTCCCTAAAGGAAAAGTACATAGGTATGGCACAGCCCCCTAGATCTGCAGAGCAAAGAATCAGCTCCTCCACACTACTCTTACAGCTGCTTTTGGCCATGGAAGTATGCTACTGCTGGATGCCTACCCTGTCCCACCTGTCTCTGATAAAAGCAGCAGTCATAGAATTAACATCTACCTGAAATTCAAGCTCAACCTCCAGGGTCTGCAGGGGAACATCCCCCCAGTCCCACTTTCCTAAAATCAGGGCAATCCCAGAGGAGCAGAGTAGACACAGGTCGTCTCTGAGCTAGGGGGAAAAAGGAGCATACTACACTGGCTTTTCTCCCTTCCTTTCCTGGGTACTTTAAGCTGACCTGTGGAATGGAAGAGAGGCTAGGGCCAAGAATTAGGCTCCTAAACATATACTTAGGTACTAAGTAAGTGGCCCAAGGACCCTATTTCACCCATTTTTTAAAAAAAAGGTTTGACCTATGTCCTGATTCAGCAAAGTACTTAAGTATATGCCTATCTTTAAACATGTGATTAAGTCCAGTGATTTCAATGGAATTACTCCTGCTTAAATTAGGCATGAGCCTAAGTACCTTGCTGACTCAGGGCCCCAATGCTCTACCAACCATACAGCTTAAGAACACTGGCTATTCCTAATACATGATTAAAAATAACATTCTCTAGTTTTCTATTTATGTAGCTTGTTTTGTGCAATCTCATTTTGGACCATGCAAATAAAACTAATCTCATTTGTGTTTCTAGTCAGTTTCACGAATTCTCATGCATTAGCATAGCATTGCTAACATTGCAGAGAAGAGTTTAACACACTGTACACTTTAATATTATACAAGTTTTTAGATAAGCGTCAGGCTGTAGCTCACGAAAGCTTATGCTCAAATAAATGGGTTAGTCTTTAAGGCGCCACAAGTCCCCCTTTTCTTTTTGCGAATGCAGACTAACACGGCTGCTACTCTGAAACCTGGCATTTCTACATGTTAGGCCAAATTTTCCCAGACTCTGCTCTAACCATTCCAACTGGAAAGCTTATCTTATTGTCTTATTTCCAAAAAGAAAGCGGAGACACTGTTTGATACATAAGCAAATACAAAAAAGGTTAGCGTGTGTGATCATGAGAAAGCCGTGCAACAGTAGATATGCAATTTAACTTTGTTAGCTAGTAGCTTTACAAGTAGCCAAGCTATCTCACAGTTCTGCATTATTTTATATGAAATATGTTTGAACTGCAACTGCTGTAAAATTAGAACGTAAGAATGGCCATATTGGGTCCATCTAGCCCAATATCCTTTCTTCTGACAATGCCCAATGCCAGGTGGTTCAGAGGAAATGAACAGAACAGGCAATCCAGTGGATCCATCCCGTTGTCCACTCCCAGCTTCGGCAGTCAGAGGCTGGGGCACCCAGAGCATAGGGTTGCATTCCAGACCCTCTTGGCTAATAGCCATTGATGGACCTAGCCTCTATTAACTTATCCAATTCTTTTTTGAACACCAGTGTAGTTTGGCCGTCACAACAAGGCAACAAGTTCCACATGTTGGTTTTGCATTGTGTAAAGTACTACCTTATGATTATTTTAAATCTGCTGCTTATTACTTTCATTGGATACTCTGGATCTTGTGTTATGCGAAGAGATAAACAAACACTTTCTCTTAGTCGTCATTTTCTCCACACCATTCATGATTTTATAGACCTTTATCATATTCCCTTTAGTCGTCTCTTTTTCAAGCCGAGCAGTCTCAGCCTTTTAAATCTCCCCTCATATGGAAGCTATTCTATTCCCTTATTGTTTTTGTTGCCCTTCTCTGTACCTTTTCCAATTCTAATATAGCACTAATTAGCCCTCAGGAGAAAAGAATGTGGAAGTTAAGGCTAAATGGACAATGTACGTGCTGCCCTAGTGTGACTGTGAGCATTATGCTACAGCCTCTAGTTCAGACCCTGTTTTTCTACAACTCTACATGCACACCCATTTATGATCATCCCTAGCAACCCAATTACAGCCTACATCGTATTCATAAGTACAAAGGACAGAGTGAAGGATGTTCATTCAGAATTTGATTGCTTAATGTAATGCTATCAAAATTCCAGCGAAGGTTGCAAATCCCGTTAACTGTGTATTTATTTAAGCCTGTTTTAAATAAAGAATTAAAGCATAATTAAAAGGCTCCTTGGCGAGAGGAAAAAAACCAAACTCCCCCACAATCTCAGGAAAAGTCTGGCTATGGAAGATGCTTTACACCTCTCAGTTGTGGAGCTCCTGAAGTGCTTCAGTGCAGGTCTACTTCCTATGCACTTTGCAAAGTGTGCAGGGGTTCAGAGAAAGCTCCTCTGCTTTTTATGAAAAGGTATCTTAAGATATGAAGGATGTAAAGCCACTGTGTAATTTAGCCATGCATCTGTGAACAAATCAATCTTCCCAGCCTTGTATGAACAGTGTCAAGTGTACTGTTATCATGGAGAACATGTCCTTCAAAGTCTGAGCATAGTAAAATGAAAGTCCATTTTCTAAGGAAATGACACTTCTCGGGACTATTTAAATATAAATTTTGACCTCCAGCTGCAGAGCGGCTCAAAAAGAGGCCACAAATGTTTACATGGGGGAAAATGAAAATTCCTAATTCACGCTCCATCTGCTAAAATGATTCAGATCAGATTTGAAGTTCACTTTGAGGCATACACCAAGTCTGGAAAATCCCAGCCTGAAAGCTTGAAAAATTAGAGACTGAAAACAGGGTAGTAGAATGAAAATCACGGTGCTTACTTTAATAGGAGGGGCATTGACCTCTACAGTTAAGCGTATAGAGAAATATGTAAGGTAGTCATCACTTAGTCACCATGCCATTACATAAAAATGCTGCCCCAAAATAAGATTAAACTATTATTCCACACTGGCCCATTCTCCAGCAAAGAATATCCACACATAGCATGTGCGCCCCGGCCCCCAAAATAGGGGGTGGTGGAGAAAGTGAGATTCATGTGTTTCCCGCAAGAGCAAAGGCACATTAAACGTCCCACCATTTGCCACGTTAAACCAATGCAGCAAAAGATTACAATCTAGCTTTGCAAAACTGCAGAAAAAGTTACCATCTAGGCACAGAGTAAACTTGCCCATCCCTTATAATGCTAAACGTTTTACTTGCCTGTTCTCAAGTATAAGCCAAGTAAGGCTCAAGGCCAACAGAAATGTATATTGCTCAACTAGCAATACCCCTCTCCTCCTTGTCTTGATTTTCCCCCCTCTTCTAAGCTATTTTCTGTATTCCCCAGTATTATGCTGGTATTAGATAGAGGTCTGTGTACTAATTTTAAGCTACTATAGTTATACTCATTAGTGGGAATACCCATACACTTTAATGAACATCTACATTTCAAATAAAAAGAAAAAGGAGGACTTGTGGCACCTTAGAGACTAACAAATTTATTCGTGAGCTACAGCTCACTTCATCGGATGCAGCTTATGCTCAAATAAATGGGTTAGTCTCTAAGGTGCCACAAGTCCTCCTTTTCTTTTTGCGAATACAGACTAACATGGCTGCTACTCTGAAACCTACATTTAAAATGCTCCTTTTCCTGCATGCCCAAAGAGACAAAACTTTAGGCAGATGGAAACCAAATTACAAATAGATCCAAGAGTCACGATTTTTGCCAGCGCACCCCAAGACCTGCCCGCCCACATCCCCAAAGGTTAGGATGTGTCTTTTACACAGTTCAAATTTTTGCATTCATGTAAAGAGAGTTCTGTTTCATGTGCTGTATAACAGAGCCAAAAGAGACTTGAGTTGTGAAGCTTTCCACATGTTTTGAGGTAACTGGAATGATGCAAAAAGCAGATTCTTCAATAGTCTTGCACAATGTATTTATAATTATAGTCAGAAGTTTCAAAAATCTCTCCTCCCGCGCAGCACCCCTAGGGAAATGCACTCAATAGCAAAGCATTCATAAGTTACTTACTGTGCTTCTTCTGAAGATTCCTGTTTTATCTTTAATGTTCTCTTTGTGGCAGGCATTTCATCTGAAAAGCAAAGTTCAGACAGATAGTTATATATTTAAAACTTTCCCAAAGCTTTTTACTTTGAAAGGTAATAAGTTGTTCACTTCGTGCTTTCCAGTAAAATTCTGACGTCACACTCTGAGAAGACTGCTTCAGCTCTTAAAACCAGCTACTATGTAAGCTACATCACCATGACTGAATTTTTAGCTACAGGATCAAAACCTGGCTTCACGTGTGCAAGATCGTTCAAGGACAAGAGTAATTCCTGCTATTAAGTCACAAGTTGATTTCATTGTAAGCTACATTCTGAAAAAGGCCATTCTGCTTTCAGTAGCACATCTGAAGAGCAAGCACCAGAATAAATGTATCTGTATTCCATTTAGACTGTGTGCACCATTCACTGAACATAAAGAATATTGTGAGCCCCAACTGCATGTAAATGTTGCTGTAATTCTTCTGAAGGATAATGGTGACAAACCATCAGAGCAAAGCCTGAGTCACCAGAACCCCTATATGGAATTACAGTCCTCATTTATGTACATTTTAAAATACATGGTTTAAGAAGCTCCTTCCCTTTTATCTCAAGTAGCTCCCTTTTATGCGTTCTTCTCCCCAAGTCCCCCATACATTCTGATCCTCTAAAGAGCTAACATTCCTAGTTTTCTCATACTTCAGTTCGTTTGAGGAGGTTTGCTATTTTCATTTGAAAATACAATTTAATCCATCTCTTGGTGAAAGTCAGAATTTACCAGTCCCCTGAATACAGCTACAGATGGAGGTATATTTGTGTGCCTTTCCCCTCACCCCCCAATCTAACCTACAAATAGGATAGAAAAAGCAAGAACAGCGCTTTTATTCATCTTCCCCTGTAAATGTTGCCTCACTCTTACAATCCCACTGGAATCATTTTTTAAATTAACTTTGATAAGCTTCCATAGACTCAGTCAATACATAAACCTTTTCCCCTCCTATTTATTGTAGGCAAGAATGTACCTCTGTGTAAAATACTCAGACGTTAAATGTAAGCATATTTTCAGGAAAGTAGATCTTTCTGTAATATCTATCTGTCAGGGCTGGGCAACAACAACATTTGGAAGACTAGGGAGTTTTTTTTTGGAAAAGGCAAAAATTTGGCAATTTTGCTTGCACAGCATAAAAGTAGTTGTGGCGTGTGGCTTGCTAGCTTTTTAGGTCTCCTAACGAATTATGAGTTTATACTGAGATCTACCTGCAAGATTTTTGTTGTTGTGTGACCATGAGCATCAGCAGTACAGATCAATTAACATCAAGTTCAGCAATTCATATTTTCTTCCCTCCCACCCCTCATTCAAATTAAAACTCAAATCTCAAACTTTAAACAAAGGGCCACTCTAGCATCTTGTCAGGAACAAAAGAGCTACTGTACCTGTTTTAAAATAAAACAATGCAAACAAGTTAAAGTCTACTTATTTCAAATATTCTACTTGTTAGAATTCACTAGCAGTAAATCAGTTCAGTCCACAATTTACAGTTACACAGAGAAGGTGTTTGACAGCTTTAGGGAGCCCTGCAAATTATGCACCTTAGATTTATACAAGTTATAGGAATTCGTTTCCCCTCCTTCCCAATAACTGTTCTGGCTTGTGACAAGTCTTAAGCCAGCAAGTATAAGAAAGGCACAGAAGTAGGTACAGCAGCATTATGGCATAGGATGGAGTAGGATCATGGAGTAGGATTAGCACTGGAGTGGCTACAAGCACAGGCAAAACCAAAACATACAGAAGGATCAATAATCAATTTCTTACCCAATTCCGGGTCTCCTCCCTGGTAGCAGTGAAGATCCTGACTGTGGTTCCCCCAATCCTCCTGTGAATATTCCTCCATAGTGCTGCCATCCGATTCCAGCTCCTGGTACAGGCCGCTACTATTAATGAGTACAGGTTGGCAGGGCTGCGAGTCCCATCCTCCCTGACCAAACACCTGTTCCAATTGTTCAAATGTGTAACTGCTTTTCCTTTTCCCAACACCATGTTCTTTCACTCGACTGTAACACCTGCGAAGGGTCTAAGACACAAAACCTTGTGTTACTCAGTTGGTGCTAGCTTTCCAGAACGGCACACACTCACGTGCAGATAGAATAAGAATGCTAGACAATCTATTTTTACTTATACTGCTCAATCTTTGTCACATGTGTTCAAGTACTATAATCCAATCACCAAACTGCCAAATTAACCTTTGTAAGACAGGAAGCATCACAACTTTGATGTTCCTGACACACGATGCTTTAGCTTGAATATCAATTACAAAGAACAAAGTTGTATAGCATCTACAGGTTCACCAGTTTCAAAGTTGGGGATTTTGAGGGCAGGGGAGAGAATACATAAATCTGCTACATATTACAGGAAAACAAACACAAATCCCATCCAATATACCAGCCAGCCCGTAGAATGCACACACCTTCTACATGAAGGAGAGAGTACAGCTGTTGTTGTGCCCACAGTTTGGAGAAGGTGGGGGAGGGAGAGAAAGAAAGAAGAGTCCCCAAAAGCAAAGACAGTCCAACCTTCCTTATTCTAGTAAGGAGATACAAGGTAAAAAATGTTTGCCTAAACTAGTTAGCTAGTAAAATTTATTACTTACATATTTTGCATTCCTTACTAACTCACTCTGTCTCTTGGGAAGCTGCTGAAATTTAAAAGAGGTCAAATCAATAATGCTCCAAATTCCCAGACTCACACATCAAATCATCAAGAAACAATACTAAGATGGCCACATCTAATAATCCATTACAACAGAGTCCAGTCTAGATTCTGAAGCCTCCAATAAAGACGTATCACCAAGTTTAGACCAGGTTTTTTGTACCTATTTGATTTCTTATTCTAGTGGCTAAGTACTATGCATTATTATAAGATACAGTATGAAATCTAACTCTTCTGCATCTGCTTCCAATTTTCCAAGTCAAGGAGGATTGGTTTAGAAAGTCTTTATTCATATCCCTTAATGTTTTTAATTCGAAGTGTGGTTCTACTTTGAAAAGTGACTAAAAATTGCTTTGTAGGATTCCATATTTACTGTATTTCAAGGACTTCCTATCAGATGTACTCAATTTACAAAACATTTTTCTTGTAACTGCCATCACTTCAAACTGAACCTTGAATAAGAAAATCAAGCTGCGTTCTCTCTCACAAAAGCAACCATTAGGGCTTGAAAGATGCACTCCTGGGCCCTACTATGTCACCTTCTACAGAGCCACCAAGTTTCTAGCACCTTTGGTTGCAAAAACAACCTTCCAAGCCAAGAATGTACACTGATGTCTCTTCCTGATTCTCAAGACAGCTCCAGTGTGGCTCTTAGCTTGCTCTAGCCACAGCAGTGGGAAACGAACAACTCTGATCAGTTCCAGGGCTGATATTCAGAAATCTGGAGGGAAGGAGTGCAGCTATCAAAAACCCATGCTAGTTCCATGCTGCTGCTTGGGAAAGCTACAAACAGCACCAACAGCAGGCGCACCATTATTCAAATGGTGAAGAGTCAAAAAATGGAAACTGTGACAGTGCAGAGTAGCAGAGATCTCATCCCACCCAAGATGCAACAGCCAGGAGACCCGACTGGAAGAGAAACTCCTTCTCTTCCATAAATGGAAAGAGGTGCTTTAAAGTGTCAGAGCTATAACCCCCGTCTCTCCCAAGCAAGGTTGTAGGACAATATTCTAGTTGAAATACGAGCAAAGGTGGCAGAGGCATTGGCCTCTCAATGGGGTACTGATCGCAGGGCTACTGTCCCCCTTCCACTTGTGTCTTTCGTATCTACTGCTGGTTACTAGGCAGAGTCCTCCATTTCGTAAATTTTTCAAGTGTTGATCATCACTTTCTACCTGTCTAACAACTCTGTGTTCAGTGGGGCTGGATGAGTAATTGTGGGTAGAACTAGATCCTGCATTTGATGCTTAAATCTGTTGATGATCCACAGGAGAACTGCATCCCTCTTTTTTTTTTTTTTTTTTTTGAGGGGCAGGGCAGGGCAAGAAGGCACTGCAAGGCTAAAGAAGTAAACACTAAATAGGTCAGTGTTTAGACCAAGCAGGTAATACCCAGGTGCAAGGAGAATACGTGAGTAGGAAGTACCAGTTTTAAACAGTCACTTTGCAGAGCAGAAGTACATTTTCAGATAGATACTTTGTCTCACTCTAGACTAATGTTCCACCTCATTTATTACAGTTTCATAGGGTAAAATGTAAACTACTATATCATTTGTAACCTGAAGAAGAGCTCTGTGTAAGATCAAAAGCTTGTCCTTTTCATCAACAGAAGTTGGTCCAATAAAGGATGTTACCTCACCCAAATTGTCTCTCTAAGATCCTACAACTGACACAGCTACTCCACCGCTGCATATCATTCTTAGAAATCAGTGTAGTCAAATTTTAAAACAGTTTTCCTAACAATTTTATGTTCTTACAAGCCTTACAATATTTCCTTATCCATCTGAGAAACAATGTTACAGCAGTCTCAATTTTAAGGCCCAAGAGATTCTAACTGCTTTATTAATAGCCAACCTAAATAAACACAGTGTTGTCTCCAGCAAAGTTAACTGAGAAGCGTCCATATTCTCTGATTAGGTCCTTTGGGAGCCCTCAACATCTGCAAACATTGGCTTAAATGCTTAAAACTCAATTTTATGTTTCAAAAGAGTTCTCCCTTGCACGGATGTTACCAAATTATCCATTTAAGACTTGAGCAGAGGCAATCTTATTAGCAGCCATTTATTTCATTCAGCCCCCACTCTAATGTTATTTTGCTAAGACCATGGCAGAAGTTCACCAAGCACCTACTCAGCAGAGACCAATGCAAAAGATGAAGGAGGCAGTGCCCTGGTTAGAACACATCTCCAGATACTTTGGTAGGATGGAAAGCATATGCTGAGATTACTGCCAAAAGGACCCAGGACCTTGCTAGGATGATTCCATCTTTCATGTCCACCTCTGGTTAGTAGAGGTCTGATAAATTCAAAGCTTTCTACAACCCCACTAGCTTCTGAAAGAAAAGGTTCCCTCCTCCTGCCAACAACCCATAGCTAAAAACGGTTGGTGGGACCTCTATTTTCTTTCCCTGGAGAGAGGGGACTTCCACTATTTTCTACTCCACACAGGCATTTTCCATTCTCTTCATCATGGATATCTCTGTGCCTCTATAGCACACTGTTTTAACAGCATTGAACTAAAACTGGCATATTCTGGTCTGGTTCACTGCTGCCCCACATGATTCTGCATGACCACCTTGACGCTAACAAGAGTTATTCATTTCACTCTGCAGGTGTTTGCAGGCTCAAGAATGCAGCACAACATCCTGCAGATTTTCTGCATAATTATTACAACTAGGAGTGGGGGAGGGGGTGGTTTTGAAAATGAAGCCTTAACTCTCCCTACATCTATAAGGATTCCTGTGTTATCACTGGAGAGTGGCTTTTTCAAGCGTTGTAGTCCCTCCCAGAATGCAACTGGACTCCTGCTCAAGGGCATTAACAATGCATCTCCATATAGTGTCCTGTCAGCACCTTTATGTCATCGTAAGTCTTTTCAGAAGGGAAAAAAGTCTATTTTTAATATAACTATTCAATGTCTGGTGCTAACCATCAGATGCCTTCTCAGATTTTATTACTAAACAAATACTGGGACTGGGGGCCCTATGCTCAGAAAATAAAGACCATCTCTGCTCAACATTTATAACTTAAAAGCCATACATAGAAAATGTGACACAAGGAAATCCAGAGACGCTTGCACTTCATGCTCAGCCACACTGGAAACAGGTCACCCCTCGCCGCTGCTGCGGCATACAGGTACCTCCAGTAGTTTACCCGCCAACGCTGGAACCAAGCTCCCCTCAGCAGCTACAGTTTCCAACCAGTCAATATGGGCACTGATGTCCTTATCCCCACCAGTCAGTTTCCCACTGCAGCTATGTTTTCTGAAGCTGTATACCTGACTCACCTGATCTCGTTATGAATCACCAGTGTAGCTAAGCAAAAGTAACAAGTTCCCTGGAAAAGACTGAAAGGCAATGGGCTGAGGAGCTGCTCAAAGTATTAACAGAGAAAAGCTCACACAAGTCGGTGATCCTCAGCTTCTCGTTTATTTCTCCAACAGCAAGCAACCGTCTCCAATTAAAGGGAAAAAATTCAAAGGGAAGGTCTTTTGTAGTGCTTGCTAAAAGTCTATGTATGACCAGGTAATGGTCTTACAAATCTTTGCTGTGAAATACTCCAGATCTTGATCAAAAATAGATTTATGACCCTTTGTTTTCAGTTTATTGATTTTTACTGAAAATTTCCCAGATTTTGCCAGAGCTATTATTCAGTTTTTACTGATTTTCACCCATATTTTGGAAGTGCCAGAACTCTCTGAACACAGCTTCCCACTTTGGAAGGAGAGATGGTAGCTCATTAACTGGTCTCTCTCCTTCTGGAGCCAGGAGCCAGTCCAGACTTTGGGGGAGCCAATTCAGAAGTATCAGAATGACTTGAGCACTGGTGTATGTATTGTTTTCAATCCAATGCTCAGCACATACATGTTACCACTGTTGGAGATGGTTATCCGTGCTATCAGCATTCAGAGCAAATGAAATGTTAGTGAACTACTTTTCGTGCTAAAATGGGTTCAAAATGAAAAGCTATCCAGTTACATTTCAGAACGTGGAAGTTTAAAACAAACAAACAAACAACAACTTCAAACAAAAGATACAGGAGAATAATATTTATCCAGAAAATGCCCTTTAATTTTGTAATAAGACACTAAAATTACCAGGAAGTTTTAAACAAACAAAAACACCCAACTGAAAACAAAGAGCCGTAGATATGTGCTAGCCCAAGCAGAAATTACAGGCTTGATGCAAGAATTTCTGGGTGAAATTCTCTGGCTTCCGTTAAGCAGGTGGTCAGTCTAGATGATCATAATGGTCCCTTTAGGCCTGAAAAAAAAATCTATATACTGGATGAAAAACATGGATGATCTGAATTTTTGTTCTGCTCAGGCGGGTTGTGCAAGCAGGTTTTTATTTTATTTTTTTTTAATAAAAGACAGTTTGGTTGAAAGAATGGAATTGTTTTCTGAGACCAGTAAACTCTATTTCTGGTATAAAGTTCGGAACGGTGGGTAGAGCCCATTAAACATCTTTATATTACTAAACTTCCCATCTCAGAAGTCCTCTTGCCATGGTAGCAGATACAAGCAAAGCAACACAGAGGGGACTGAAAGGGTTTGGAGTTTAACATCTCTGTACTAGAAATGCTTTCAGTAACTAGTGCCCTGAAGAACTTTTTAATGAGAGGATGATTCAAGAGACTGGAATTAGTGTCAGAGTCCAACATGCTTTTGTCACTAGAGCCTATAGGGAGCAAATACCAAAATCCAGTTGAAAACCATCCTGGCAGAACAAGAAGTTGTAACACTGATTCTTCAAATTATTCATCTAGATCTACAATCTTGATAGAAGTGTGCGCTCAGCTCAGAAGCTTCAAGCAAGCAGTTTCTATTGGGGACACTTGCCTCCTCCCCATTGCTCTGGAGTTATAAGGCACAAAAGGGACAGATGCCAAAACCACCATCAGTTCCATCTATTAATTCAGGAATCCTTGCTGACCCTTTGAGAGCTAGCCATATGACTCTCTCTCAACAAATAAATAAGTAGTAGTCA